AAGGTCGGAGTAGAGTAGGTAGATGATGCACTGGAAGAAGGTATGAGGACAGAATCACCAGGTGAGAAGGTCGGAGTAGAGTAGGTAGATGATGCACTGGAAGAAGGTATGAAGACAGAATCACCAGGTGAGAAGGTCGGAGTAGAGTAGGTAGATGATGCACTGGAAGAAGGTATGAAGACAGGATCACCAAGTGAGAAGGTCGGAGTAGAGTAGGTAGATGATGCACTGGAAGAAGGTATGAAGACAGGATCACCAAGTGAGAAGGTCGGAGTAGAGTAGGTAGATGTCAGATGATGCACTGGAAGAAGGTATGAAGACAGGATCACCAAGTGAGTAGGTCGGAGTAGAGTAGGTAGATGATGCACTGGAAGAAGGTATGAAGACAGGATCACCAAGTGAGAAGGTCGGAGTAGAGTAGGTAGATGATGCACTGGAAGAAGGTATGAAGACAGGATCACCAGGTGAGAAGGTCGGAGTAGAGTAGGTAGATGATGCACTGGAAGAAGGTATGAAGACAGGATCACCAAGTGAGAAGGTCGGAGTAGAGTAGGTAGATGATGCACTGGAAGAAGGTGTGAAGACAGGATCACCAAGTGAGAAGGTCGGAGTAGAGTAGGTAGATGATGCACTGGAAGAAGGTATGAAGACAGGATCACCAGGTGAGAAGGTCGGAGTAGAGTAGGTAGATGATGCACTGGAAGAAGGTATGAAGACAGGATCACCAAGTGAGAAGGTCGGAGTAGAGTAGGAAGATGATGCACTGGAAGAAGGTATGAAGACAGGATCACCAGGTGAGAAGGTCGGAGTAGAGTAGGTAGATTATGCACTGGAAGAAGGTATGAAGACAGGATCACCAGGTGAGAAGGTCGGAGTAGAGTAGGTAGATGATGCACTGGAAGAAGGTATGAAGACAGGATCACCAAGTGAGAAGGTCGGAGTAGAGTAGGTAGATGATGCACTGGAAGAAGGTATGAAGACAGGATCACCAGGTGAGAAGGTCGGAGTAGAGTAGGTAGATGATGCACTGGAAGAAGGTATGAAGACAGAATCACCAGGTGAGAAGGTCGGAGTAGAGTAGGTAGATGATGCACTGGAAGAAGGTATGAAGACAGAATCACCAGGTGAGAAGGTCGGAGTAGAGTAGGTAGATGATGCACTGGAAGAAGGTATGAGGACAGAATCACCAGGTGAGAAGGTCGGAGTAGAGTAGGTAGATGATGCACTGGAAGAAGGTATGAAGACAGAATCACCAGGTGAGAAGGTCGGAGTAGAGTAGGTAGATGATGCACTGGAAGAAGGTATGAAGACAGGATCACCAGGTGAGAAGGTCGGAGTAGAGTAGGTAGATGATGCACTGGAAGAAGGTATGAAGACAGGATCACCAGGTGAGAAGGTCGGATCAGGAGCTGTTGACTGTGTCGTGTGAGATAACACTGGTAGATGTCCGGAAGAAGGACTGGAACTGGAGTGGAGGGGCTCAGCTACGAACAGAGGCTTGACAAACGTTAGAGGCTTGACAAATGTTACTGTTAGAGGCTTGACAAATGTTAGAGGCTTCACGAAAGGTAGAGGCTTCACGAAAATAGGCCCATTGCTGCCCATTTGTGTTGGAATGCATACATGGTTCTTAATCTTATCAGTCCGCTGAACAGATGGTAGAGGAGATTTTGTGCTTGTGCTGTTTAAAACTGTAGACAAATCTGGGGTAACTCTCATCCACTCTGTTTCAGCGACAGAAGTTTGGCATATTTTTGGAAAATCTTTGCTTTGTATACTTCGTGAAAATAATCGCTCGGAATGAGTCCGCTGATGGGTAACCAAGTTTGATCTTTGACTAGCACTGTAGGAACATTCAGGACATTTATAAGGTTTGTCTTTGGTTTGATACTGCTTATGGCGAACTAAGATAGATTTTTGGGTTGTACTATATGAGCATTCGGAACATTTATAAGGTTTTTCTTCGGAATGAGTCCACTGATGGCGAACTAAGTTTTGTTTTTGGCGTGTACTGTAGGAGCATTCAGAACATTTGTAAGGAGTTTCTCCGGAATGATTCCTCTGATGGCAAACTAAGTTGGATTTATAACGTGTTCTGTAGAAGCATTCAGAACATTTATAAGGCTTTTCTCCGGTATGAGTTCGCTGATGGGGAACTAAGTGTGATTTATGTGCTGTACTGTAGTGGCATTCAGAGCATTGATATGGTTTCTTTCTGATATAACTCTCTTTACTAGTAGTGGTAGGTAAACTGGTAAAGTGGATATTGTGGTTGTGTCGCAGGAAGTTTCAGAGTACATCAATCGTTCTCGAGGTTCTTTAATCCATTCGGTATCAGGGGCAGAAGTTTGGTGGAGTTTTGAATTAGGTTTGTTGATGCACTCTATGGAGATTTTGCCTGTATTCATGTCTCCAGCCATAATTAAAGTATAGTGTTGAGGATGTTTCGTAAATAAATCTTGGTTGGGAAACTGCATTTGACAAGTACGATCATACACTTCTGATTTGGCATAAAGATTATCTTCCTCCTCCTTGGTATCTGTATTTATAAATTCTGGTGGTATCCTATCTTCCTCCATTTTCATCTCATCTTTAATCTTTAGATATTTTAGCTCCTCCATTGTTTCTGAAAATTTAACGACCAGTTAGTGAAACCGGCAATATGAATATGTGAACGATCCCGAAACTATTGTCAACATAGTTATTAGTTACCTTCAAACTAGAAACGTATGACAAATTTCAAGCAGTAAAAAAGAAAAGTTAATGTGGGATGCAGTAACCACAGTAACCACAGTAACCACAGTAACCACATGAGTAACCACAGTAACCACAGTAACCATGCACAGTAACCACAGTAACTTGCACTCCAACGACTAAGAGACCTTTGGCTTATCGAGTACAAATAACACATGAGGCGGAACTAGTCAACAAAAAGTTAGACTTGGAATCTAGCGAATAGGTCTTTTATTTCAATTATTTGCAAAATATCATTTAGCAGTATGTATAACTATATGCTATCGTTAAAATAGAAAGCAGCATTCTGTGAGAATCAAAATGTCGCCAGCTGGCATCAAGGGATAATTCTCAGAAACTGAGAATTGTGAAATTTAAATAATAAGAAAACGGAACGAAATTCGTAAATCAAAATGTACTAAGAGAAGTAAAAATGAACAAGTACAATACAATTACAAGAGTAGAGTACAAAGGGACATTCTCAGAAAGAATTGTGAAATTGAAATAATTTTCATTAGGTGGAACTACTCAAAAAACCTTTTGACTCTGGTCAGCAGGTCAGTCTTAAATAGAGTCTGATATACCGATACGTTAAGATTTTAAGATTTTATTTTTATAGCATTCTCTCGATTTTTAGAGTTCTGATCGTCTTCATGAATTGCTGTATTACCAAGACGAGTTCGTTAGTGTTCTCCTTGGTCATTTCATGTTTAATTCCTGTTTAATTCCTGTTTACGTTATCTTACAGCACTATTAGTAGAAATAAGAAATTAGAAATTAGAAATTAGAAATTAGAAATTAGAAATTAGAAATTAGAAATTAGAAATTAGAAATTAGAAATTAGAAATTAGAAATTAGAAATTAGAAATTAATATACGTTATCTCACAGCACTATTGGTATGATATACGTTATCTCACAGCACCATTGGTATGATCATGTGATACACATAAGGTGAGTAGTCCTACTGTAACTGTAAGCAGTGGACACTTGCTTTCAGGTTCGTAGATTAATTAGTAGTTTTTAAGTTCAACGGAAACGAAATTAATAACGGTGATTAAAATGTAATCTAATATAAAACGAAACAACACCAATAAACACCAATAAACACCAATGAACACCAATGAACACTTCGACTCCTAATTAACCAGACTTATACCGCCAAAAGCCCCTACTAGAATCTAGTAGACTCAGGTCAACCCTCGAAGCTAAACCCTGCCATGGAATCTACCGGAATCGGATCAACCCTCGTTGATCCGAACTAAGCTCAAGCCAAATCCTACTGCGATCTATACCCATGCTCCCAGATCTAACAACAACACGGCTTTACCATCTCCCACCCCAGTTCATTTTGTAACGGAGTTTTATATTAACAGGAAACGATGTAACAGAGTCGATATATTTTAATGTTGCCATGGGGTGGCAAGTCCCCATACATCGTGGTCCCGGGTCCGGTAGTTTCATTGCGTCCTAATATTGATATAACACCATAGTTGTCATATTCTTAGATCTAGATCATCCATGTTCTAATTCAAAGGCCACCGTACAAATAGTCACAGTGTACACTACTCCTAAAGGTTTACGATATCACCTGATGATAATGATATACCACATCTACCGAGAAGCCGATATAAGAACCACATACTTTTACTCAGCACTGAAAGTGAGTAGCACTCTTCTTTACAAATCCGACAGGGATTAGATTACCGACTGGGGGCTTGTTCTGTTCATATTAACAGAAGCTGCGGTGGAATGACAGGCTGAGCGCCTGGGTGCTTGTTCTGTTCATATTAACAGAAACTCAAGCTGCGGTGGAATGACAGGCTGAGCGCCGTGGAGTAAGGATCAGAATTCAGACGGCTCATTGATTTTATTTCATTTTTTATGTTTTTATCAAATGTTGACAGAGCTAAGATCGTTGCAAAGAATTGACATATAATTGACACAGTCAATACTAAGATTAAAAATAAAACGCAGCTTATTATCATACAATTTACAAATATATTTCATTATACAACTTTGAAATAAACTTGTGCAGCGTGTGCAATGTTGATTTGCAGGTTCAAGGTTGATAAATAAAAAATAAGTGACTATACTATAATTATTTCATTGGTTAAATTTACTGTCATTTCTCCATATATTCAATCGGTGTGTTTATGAATACAAAAGCCTGAGGTCCCCAGGTAAAAGTTAAATATGTTTCCCATCTTTTGATTTAACTTTCGTGCTCGCAGGCAGTGGCAATGGGTAAACATTTAAAGTTTATAGGTTCTAAAAGTGATATAATTTTCAATACACCACACATAATTAAAATTTACATTATCCATGCTATTTTAATGACAGTCCCGAGTCACTTTCAAATCATTTCATGCTGAACTCTTTTTCGGATTGATTTATTGACATATGAACATGAAATAGTTTGAGAGTGACTGCGTGCAAGATTAAGATAATAACCTATTATATAGTATTATCCTTAAATGAAATGAAAAAAAGAAAACGGTAGCCATTATAATTTAGCCATGTGTTCGTCCATAAGAAGTATAAAATAATAAAACTTCGAGTTCTCTACGTCCTCCCATAGACATAAAAAACGATAATCACTTCTACCGCCATCTATTTGTACACATGCAACATAGAATCTGAAATTGATCATTTTGTATAACTTTGATTTCCTCTGCCAACAGTCTCAAGTCAACCTCTGTAATTTGTCGACATCATCAACAGGAGCAAAAATCATCATGTGAGGTGCACGACACGGTGAATTATATTCATAAATATAATCCAACGCTAAGTCAGGTGTCTCAGGGCAATATTATGTTATCAAAACTTAAAAGGGATCAGCTAAAGCCTTGGACCTCGATCAGGTAAAAATAACGACAGATAAAAATAAATAGATAAACGCGCTAAATGGCTGGTTGCAACAACGCAGCAGTAGTTTCTTGTTAGTTAGTCAATAAATCATTGTGGCCATCTCAATCCAAATAACGTCTTACAGTTACAATCTCATGATGATTTCATTAATTTAAAATCAAACAGTTCATAGTATAGTCCTCTTTCTTTCATACTTTTTAGTTTTAATAGAGCAAAACTGTTCAAACAAAACTCATCATTCCCTTTAAAAGCAGCGAATAGCTTTGTTGTTCCACTACACCACGTGATGCCCTTATAAGGAGTGCTATTACCACGTGATGCCCTTATAAGGAGTGCAGCATCTTCCCAACAATTCCCAGACAGTTTCAGTCATTGTATTTCAACGGCTTTACGTTTAAAACTTTAAAACTGAAAGACGTTGTCGAATGACAGCTCAGTGTCGTCCAAGTAGCTGACGTTGGGCACGTATTTGCCCTTGGTGGAGGCTAATTTGAGTTCAATCATACTGTAGCACATGTCAATAACTGCTGCTCGCACATCCCTCCCTTCGATTCCGAGAATCTGGTTCATCTGAAAAAGTGGAGTATCTTTTAAGTGGTATTATTTAAACAATTGCACTCACAAACGCTGCTATGCTGAGATATCGATTTCGTTCAGGCATTTAGTAATTTAGTAATCTGTCGGCCGGGTGGTGTAGTGGTAACACGATCGCCTCCCAAGCAGAAGACCCGGGTTCAAATCCGGTCGGATGCAAGTCGGCCAGTTACCAAGCTGTGATTTGGTACAGCTTCGGCTGGTGATACACACTCTCTGGCTCGTAGGACTAACCCCCCTACAGCTAGTATAGTGCCTCGGCACAGAGTGGCTTAGGGTTACTGAAAAGGAGATAAGCACCTCAGGCCATCCCAACGTTCGGGAGAGACCTGCCCTTGTATCTTGTGTTGTATTTAGTAATTTGAAACACCTACGTAATATAGTGCTACAAGTTCACCCTTTTTAAATACGTGCAACATGGCGATTAGTGACTAGTGTGTCATGTATGTCTCGATTAGTGACTGGTGTGTCATGTATGTCTAGCTCGATGGGGGTTTATTTTACAATTTATATCATGATATCAGTTATAATATTTAAATCGTGGATTAGAACACATTGTCATTATTTATTGCCAACTCAGCAAATCCTCAACTCAGCAATATCCTCCAGACGTTATATTAAAGACTTACGTTGTTGGTGTCGTAAGTGATGATCTTCCCGATGCTGCTGGATACAAACTTGGCAGATTTGTTGATTTTAGCGGCGATACTTAAAGCCCAATCTGGCATATCCCGAACTGAGATCTTGTAACCTTGGTCCGTGAACACGTCGTGTATCGTTTGGGCAATGTCCTTCAGCCAAAAGTTGGTGGAACTGAAACACCATCCAATTATTATAGGTTCATAGTCAAACAAAAGGTCATAAACTCGGTTACTCGCTGCACTCTCTGAACAGAGATAATTGTAGCCGGAAAAATTAAATTTATCACCGACTTTCAATCATGTTGATGAATTGTCGGAATACGTTAACAATAACATTTACTCATAACACGGAATACGTTAAGATTAACTCACTGAATTATGATTCGTTTCCCAGCAGCTTCCGGAGCTAGCATAGCGGAAATATGAGCATCCGCCACATCTCTTACATCAACAGTGGGCAGGAATATCTTAGGGAGCATGGGGTAGCCGCCCTCCAATATCCGCTTTACAAGCTGAGCAATGTGAAGTTGTGATATTGTGGCGATAATGCATGTTTATTATTTATTAGTTAATTAATTAATTAATTAATTAATTAATTAATTAATTAGTTAATTAGTTAATTAGTTAATTAATTAATTAGTTATTAATATCCGCTTTACTAGCTGAGCAGTGAGAAGTTGTGATACTGTGACGATAATGCATGTTTATAATGCATGTTTATTGTTTAATGTTTATTAGATTGCTTGAATAAACTCCGACATTAGACAAAGACCTCAACATTCGGCGCTATATGTTATAAATAAAATAATATAAGTGGAGAATATTGAGAGGACAAGATGAGGAAATTCTTAAAATAAACAAACACCCCTTATAAGGGCATCACGTGGTAATAACACTCACCGCACACTATAGAATATTTACTCACCAGCATAGAGGTACATTCCCCGACAAGGATAGGACCGAGACACATTGTAGGATTTAGTGCTACCAACTCAAAGTTCGCTGAGGAAATGTAAAGATTATATATTGTGATCACACTTAAGCACTAACATACTGAAAGTCCAATGATTCTGACAATGTATCAGACGGAACTTGGACAAGTGTTTTTAGTTGCCATACTGGGCATAAATATTAAATACCTTACAGAGAGTAGGTAATAGTAAGACTAAGAGTAAGAGACTGTAAGATAGACCAACCCGTGGCAGCCATATCCCATGCAGCTTTCTCTGCGAGGACTTTGCTCAGACAATAAGGGTCACAATCTCCCTGCAAACTCCACTCTCCTTCTGTGTAATGATAATCCCCTCGCTGCTTTCCTCCTGGAAAATATATAAGATTACAACTCCACTCTCCCTCTGTGTAATGATAATCCCCGCTGGTTTCCTCCTGGAAAATATATAAGATAACAAACTCCACTCTCCCTCTGTGTAATGATAATCCCCTCGCTGCTTTCCTCCTGGAAAATATATAAGATTACAAACTCCACTCTCCCTCTGTGTAATGATAATCCCCTCGCTGCTTTCCTCCTGGAAAATATATAAGATTACAAACTCCACTCTCTCTCTGTGTAATGATAATCCCCTCGCTGCTTTCCTCCTGCAAATATATAAGATTACAACTCCACTCTCCCTCAGTGTAATGATAATCCCCTCGCTGCTTTCCTCCTGCAAATATATAAGATTACAACTCCACTCTCCCTCTGTGTAATGATAATCCCCTCGCTGCTTTCCTCCTGGAAATATATAAGATTACAACGCCACTCTCTCTCTGTGTAATGATAATCCCCTCGCTGCTTTCCTCCTGGAAAATATATAAGATTACAAACTCCACTCTCCCTCTGTGTAATGATAATCCCCTCGCTGCTTTCCTCCTGCAAATGTATAAGATTACAACTCCACTCTCTCTCTCTCTGTAATGATAATCCCCTCGCTGCTTTCCTCCTGGAAAATATATAAGATTACAACGCCACTCTCCCTCAGTGTAATGATAATCCCCTCGCTGCTTTCCTCCTGCAAATATATAAGATTACAACTCCACTCTTCCTCTCTGTAATGATAATCCCCTCGCTGCTTTCCTCCTGCAAATATATAAGATTACAACTCCACTCTTCCTCTCTGTAATGATAATCCCCTCGCTGCTTTCCTCCTGCAAATATATAAGATTACAACTCCACTCTCTCTCTGTGTAATGATAATCCCCATCGCTGCTTTCCTCCTGGAAAATATATAAGATTACAAACTCCACTCTCCCTCTGTGTAATGATAATCCCCTCGCTGCTTTCCTCCTGGAAAATATATAAGATTACAACTCCACTCTCTCTCTGTGTAATGATAATCCCCTCGCTGCTTTCCTCCTGGAAAATATATAAGATTACAACTCCACTCTCTCTCTGTGTAATGATAATCCCCTCGCTGCTTTCCTCCTGGAAAATATATAAGATTACAACGCCACTCTCCCTCAGTGTAATGATAATCCCCTCGCTGCTTTCCTCCTGCAAATATATAAGATTACAACTCCACTCTTCCTCTCTGTAATGATAATCCCCATCGCTGCTTTCCTCCTGGAAAATATATAAGATTACAACTCCACTCTCCCTCTGTGTAATGATAATCCCCTCGCTGCTTTCCTCCTGGAAAATATATAAGATTACAACTCCACTCTCTCTCTGTGTAATGATAATCCCCTCGCTGCTTTCCTCCTGGAAAATATATAAGATTACAACTCCACTCTCTCTCTGTGTAATGATAATCCCCTCGCTGCTTTCCTCCTGGAAAATATATAAGATTACAACTCCACTCTCCCTCTGTGTAATGATAATCCCCTCGCTGCTTTCCTCCTGGAAAATATATAAGATTACAACTCCACTCTCCCTCTGTGTAATGATAATCCCCTCGCTGCTTTCCTCCTGGAAAATATATAAGATTACAAACTCCACTCTCCCTCTGTGTAATGATAATCCCCTCGCTGCTTTCCTCCTGGAAAATATATAAGATTACAACTCCACTCTCCCTCTGTGTAATGATAATCCCCTCGCTGCTTTCCTCCTGCAAATATATAAGATTACAACTCCACTCTCCCTCTGTGTAATGATAATCCCCTCGCTGCTTTCCTCCTGGAAATATATATAAGATTACAACTCCACTCTCTCTCTGTGTAATGATAATCCCCTCGCTGCTTTCCTCCTGGAAAATATATAAGATAACAAACTCCACTCTCTCTCTCTCTGTGTAATGATAATCCCCTCGCTGCTTTCCTCCTGGAAAATATATAAGATTACAACTCTACTCTCCCTCTGTGTAATGATAATCCCCTCGCTGCTTTCCTCCTGGAAAATATATAAGATAACAAACTCCACTCTCTCTCTCTGTGTAATGATAATCCCCTCGCTGCTTTCCTCCTGGAAAATATATAAGATTACAACTCCACTCTCTCTCTGTGTAATGATAATCCCCTCGCTGCTTTCCTCCTGGAAAATATATAAGATTACAACTCCACTCTCTCTCTGTGTAATGATAATCCCCTCGCTGCTTTCCTCCTGGAAAATATATAAGATTACAACTCCACTCTCCCTCTGTGTAATGATAATCCCCTCGCTGCTTTCCTCCTGGAAAATATATAAGATTACAACTCCACTCTCCCTCTGTGTAATGATAATCCCCTCGCTGCTTTCCTCCTGGAAAATATATAAGATAACAAACTCCACTCTCCCTCTGTGTAATGATAATCCCCTCGCTGCTTTCCTCCTGGAAAATATATAAGATAACAAACTCCACTCTCCCTCTGTGTAATGATAATCCCCTCGCTGCTTTCCTCCTGGAAAATATATAAGATTACAACTCCACTCTCCCTCTGTGTAATGATAATCCCCTCGCTGCTTTCCTCCTGGAAAATATATCAGTTTACAAACTCCACTCTCCCTCTGTGTAATGATAATCCCCTCGCTGCTTTCCTCCTGGAAAATATATAAGATTACAACTCCACTCTCCCTCTGTGTAATGATAATCCCCTCGCTGCTTTCCTCCTGGAAAATATATCAGTTTACAAACTCCACTCTCCCTCTGTGTAATGATAATCTCCTCGCTGCTTTCCTCCTGGAAAATATATAAGATAACAACTCCACTCTCTCTCTGTGTAATGATAATCCCCTCGCTGCTTTCCTCCTGCAAATGTATAAGATTACAAGTTCACTTTCCTCCTCAATGTGTATACGGATAACACACAAATGCTATACATACAGGGAATGAAGAAAGAGGGTAAAATAAAGAGACAACTAAACTATGCTACATTATTATCAATTAATCGATCAATTGACCACCAGCTTGAACACATACCTGATATTGCAGCAATGCTACTGGTAAGAACAACCCTCTTAACAGTTCCCGCTCTTTTGCAAGCGTCCAGAACTCTCTTAGTCCCCTCGACTGCTGGTACCACTACTGAGGAGGGTTCTCCGGGCTGGGAGTCTGGGAACGGAGATGCCACGTGGATAACATAGGTACAGTCACTCACAGCCCTGTGGGGGTTTATTGGCGTGATAACATAGGTACAGTCATTCACAGCCCTGTGGGGGTTTATTGGCGTGACTTTTTATCGCGTATTTGCATAATTAAAAGACAGGGTAAACTCACAGTGCAGTTCGTATGAAATGAAAATAAATTGCAGATAAAAACCTGTCCCAATTCAAGTCGTCGAGCAGGTTACACTCAAAAAGCCTCAGGTTCTCGAGTGCATTGTGGAACTTTGTAACCGGCTTCACTCTCTTTCGATTGTGTCTACTTCGAACTGTGCCGTGCACAATGTATTTATCTGTAAATAAGTTTGTGCTCTTATAGGCTGCCTTACAGTTTGCAGACTTGAAATACTTGCCGGAAAACGTGCGTATTTCACTAATATAATATAATGATAATTCACTGTGTTACATTACATGTGCTTATGTGTGAAAACATAAATAACACATACGAATAAAATAGCAATATGGCAAAGTTCCAAACTCTAAAACACCACTGAAGTCTGAAAGGCAGAGGTAAAATAATCTAGTAGCAACTAGTAGAGTAGTAGTAGTTCTACAACCCCTCCCTGCTACTAGGAAACTGAGAGGTACAATACTCTAGTAGCAGGTACAACCCCTCCCCCCCTCCCTGCTATTAGGAAAACTAACTGGTTTTGAGGAGTCGCTTCGTAATGTGAGATGCCACAAACCCAGTCACGCCTGTCACTAATACTTTCTGTTTCGTCACTGGGAGCATGGTAAAGGTGAGCAAATGTTAGCGATACAAAATAAAAGCGTGAAATCTTTACCAGTTATAATTTGTGTCAAAATGTTTGATGTTTGTTAAGGTATAATATTACAGTCTGGTATAATATGGGTGGGTTATGAATTAGCAAATCGGATATAATATTACCGCGATCATGTACCGATTATATTATAGACCGTGATTATTCCAAAGTATTGGTAAGAGTCAGACGAATCATCCTCCTCCAAATTAATAATACACCCATTGTTATTTTGTTAATGACGTGATTTTCGAAAGATTCTGAACGAAATCTTTATTGTAACAATATATTTCTGGTACTCCCACAATTGTGTGACTTTGGTATTGTTACCATAGTACATAGTAACATGGTAGTGTTACCATAGTTACCTGTTCCTTGGTAGTGTTACCATAGTTACAACAATAATGTTGGTGGTCCACTGCGAACCAGGTCCACAACTCTTATTGGATTTTTAAGAATTGAAATTTAGTTGGAAGGTTGAACAACCTTCTTTCGACAGAGTTTAAATTTCACGCTGAAATACCAGCTGTTTGGAGAATGGAGATACATTAAAAATACATTTATAATGAAGTAAAGATACTGAATCGAGAAGCTTATTGATTAACATATTTTGTCGCGTTCATTATTATCGCTCATAAGAACACAATGGATATTGGATAATCAATTAAATTTCTCAAACTAATTGATATCAAAAGTCCAAGGCACTTTATTTAAAAATTAAATATGGTACGATTACTTTTAACTTACCAATAGTAAATTTTCTAGGAGATTTGTTCCCACTTTCATACATTATCTATATAATACAAGAAGTCACAAGAAGCAGCACTATAAGCAATGACAAATAACAACAAGGAACTGAAGGTTCCTAAAAGTGCATCCTACTTTATCCTACTATTTATATAGAGGCAGAATGCAGATCTCTTGTATTGGTTTGAAACACTTCATACATTTAAAAGTGTGACAAATGGATTGTCGAAATGGGGTATTTGAATTTTGACATAGCGAAAAGGCAGGACCCGTGAACGAACTTTCATTACCAGTGCATATTGCACGTCATTACAGTAATTTATACTCCTCTGTTAGAAGAACAAACTTAAATTAGAGCTACAATATAAGTTATTGCTGGAATGTTATACCAGTGATTACACTTGCAGGTGTAGTAACTTTAGTCGGTAAATAAGAATGTTCAAAGACCTCAGATTAATTGGCCTATACAATGTACTAATTTACAAAGCGTCTTAGCATCGTCGTATAGATTAGTATCTTCGTAGCTAGGCAATGTTGTCTCAGACAATTAACTTGTCTTTAGTATCGGATGAAATCCCAAGAAAACCTCTCGTAGTTCAGAGGATACAAAATATAACAATATGGTAGAATCATATAGTGCTAAAATACCGCGTGCTGATAACCTAGATGTTAATGGAGATGTTTTATCAATACAAAAGAAAATAAAAATACGATAGAATACCTATCCATTGGCAAAGTGCCGCATATAAAAGTCGATAGGTAAGAGGAACCCTCAGCAGTCAGCAACATCGCGTCAAGTTTTAACAGTACACCCTTGGCCTCCTTCCAAGAAACTTCATAAATGCCGGAGGAATAAATAATTTTTGTGAACTTAATGAAATTAAAGACATAGCAAAGTGCAAAAAGTGTTGGGACAACTTTCTTGCCGTCCTTCAAAGAAACCTCATAAATGCCGTAGGTTATTATGATGGCTATCAACAGCTATCTAGAAATCGAGTACCAAAATCACGAGACTTGCAAAAATTTAAAAATAAGTACTACCATTTTCAAACTTACATGACTCAAGGAGTGCAACAAAAGCACATTTAAGACTATTGTTTGCTTTTGAAAAAAGAGTGTACATTAATATTAACTTCTATATGGCAACAAGCAAGAGCTGATTTGTGAGGACTGGTTATCATGTGACTATTTTCACAGGTGTTGACAATATCGCTTAGCTGAATAATAATTAGCAACAAACAGGGTGACTATTTTCACAGGTGTTGACAATATCGCTTAGCTGAAGAATAATTAGCAACAAACAGGGTGTCTATTTTCACAGGTGTTGCTAATATCGCTTAGCTGAAGAATAATTAGCAACAAACAGGGTGTCCATTTTCACAGGTGTCGACAATATCGCTTAGCTGAAGAATAATTAGCAACAAACAGGGTGTCCATTTTCACAGGTGTCGACAATATCGCTTAGCTGAAGAATAATTAGCAACAAACAGGGTGTCCATTTTCACAGGTGTCGACAATATCGCTTAGCTGAAGAATAATTAGCAACAAACAGGGTGTCCATTTTCACAGGTGTCGACAATATCGCTTAGCTGAAGAATAATTAGCAACAAACAGGGTGTCCATTTTCACAGGTGTCGACAATATCGCTTAGCTGAAGAATAATTGGACACGTTCATTTGAGTTTGAGGATATTGGTAAATACAAGTGACCCTATTAAAAGGCACAGTGTAGTTGAATTTGTCACACTATGAAATTACTTAAACCCTTGATGGTTAGGATAATCGTCTCATCCTCTAGGCTAACTTTGTCACATAACGATATCTTAATCAGGTGATAAGATATCGCTTAAATACGGCCGGCACGGAAATGGTTACATTGTCACACTATAAACATGTGACGGAGTAAATATGGACCCCTTGCTGCCGTTTTTGACCAAATTTTTTAGTGTCCAGTTGATTGGATGGGTACATATGACCATTACCTACATATTTGACGACTTTTTTCGTTAGATGGTGCATTCAGGTTTACTCTGTCACACATTAAAGAAAATATGTGATGAATGTTTAGGGCACCCTGATAAGCAATGCTGAGTAGTGTAAGTTTATTTGATAGCCTGGAAGTGCTGGGAATTGTTATTATATCATATAGTCGTAAGGAATTAAAACACAGAAGGCACAACCAAGTTTACTTTGTCACATAATTTTGATGATATCTGAACATATGTGAAATTGAACAAATAATGATATACCAGCTTAAACCCCTTATATTACGTAATATGGATCAAACAACACTGATAGTACCATGCACCAGTCACATAAATCATTATCAGGTGGTAATATGTTAACAGTGTCACAATTAAACTACCGCTACATGGTCAAAAATAGGGTAATTTCGTCACAAAAAATTATTATAACTCTGTTAGCTCCTTGCTGGCAAAATAACTAGTTTATCGAAATTTTGTTGATGATAAAGTTACATAGTATTCTAATAGAGGTATAGTTCTTCAAAATAGGGGCAAGACATGTTTACTTTGTCACATCAGTTATTATAAGAGTTAGGTAATCGTCATCAGATTAAAAGATATTTTTCGTAGTTTGGATCGATTAATACTTTAATATACCTGAAATAAAGCATCCTATGCCAATTTTAACACACTATCTTGATACTGTTGGGGCAGGGAAAGTTAATTTTGTCACATTTTTAATGTCTTTGACAAATTAATCTAAATTTTTAGAATTGAGCTCTTATGTTCTGGACAATATTCTTCCAATCGTTTCTGAAAGAATGTTGAATTCTAATAGAGTTATAGATCTTCAAAATAGGGGCAAGACATGTTTACTTTGTCACATCAGTTATTATAAGAGTTAGGTAATCATCACATATATTTTTTTGTAGTTTGGATTGATTTATATAGGTAATAAAGCAGCCTATGCTAATTTTGACACACTATCTTGAAATTGTTGGGGCATGAAAAGTTAATTTTGTCACATTTTTAGTGACTTTGACAAATTTAACCTAAAATTGTTAAACTTAAGCTCTGATATTCTGGACAATATTCTAATAAAGGTATAGAATATAGATCTTCCAAAAAGGGGCAAGACATGTTTACTTTGTCACATCAGTTATTATAAGAGTTATTATAAGAGACTATTTCATTCGATAATCATTGTTTTTAATCTATTTACGATTTCGTATAATTTTTTGTGACAATGTAAACAGCAACTGATCTTAACTTGCATCAACTACATTGTCATCATATAAAATTTTCCCACCTTTCAAACCAAAATCAGATATAAATAATTCGCCCAAAATTTAAAATTTCATATATTGTGACAGAATTAACCTCATTTCCCAATAACCAAGTGCCTGTATTAGCTAACTAGTCAAAACAACATATTTTAGGGCTATGATTGGTAGAGCAACCATCAAATAATGAGTTGAACGGGTTTTTAAGACACCTCACAGTAGAATAGAGGTATATGGTATCATGAGTGTGACAAAGTTACCCAAATATTGCCTTGTAACCGTTCGATCCGTGCCCATTAACCAATGTTGTATCATAATTGTTAGATTGACCTAATTTACTATATTTCAGACCAAGGAATGATAATTAGACAACTGCAGTTAAATAAGTCACACAAAATGTGACATTTGAAACATTATAGTGCCTAACAACAATGGATTTTCTTTCTGAGCAGTGTATATGGGAGTATGAGTTACGTGGCTAATGTTCAGAACTTCTGAACGTGCTAAGTTAATAGATGTCAAAATTAAGCCACTATCGTCAAAAACGCTATTATTTTTGTTTACCAATATCCTCAAACTCAAATGAACGTGTCCAATTAGCAACAAACAGGGTGTCCATTTTCACAGGTGTCGACAATATCGCTTAGCTGAAGAATAATTAGCAACAAACAGGGTGTCCATTTTCACAGGTGTCGACAATATCGCTTAGCTGAAGAATAATTAGCAACAAACAGGGTGTCCATTTTCACAGGTGTCGACAATATCGCTTAGCTGAAGAATAATTAGCAACAAACAGGGTGTCCATTTTCACAGGTGTCGACAATATCGCTTAGCTGAAGAATAATTAGCAACAAACAGGGTGTCCATTTTCACAGGTGTCGACAATATCGCTTAGCTGAAGAATAATTAGCAACAAACAGGGTGTCCATTTTCACAGGTGTCGACAATATCGCTTAGCTGAAGAATAAT